GGGCCGAAGTATGACAATCTGAAGATGAAAATGTTCCACATTGGAAAGTTAATGAACCTAGTAAGGACTTATGAAGAGTTGAGTTACTCTTCCTTTTGCCAATTACTTTTGGAGTGAACCTCATCTTCCTTTATGGTATGCACATTTGTCCACGTGTGAAACCTCAACTTCTGCTTAGTTGTGGCGATTGTCCTTAAATAATACCTCAATCACATTTTGGTCCTCCAATTTCTATCGTGCTTAAATTGGGGCTCTTGTTGCATAACGCATGTATTCTCAATAAGTCATCTTCCCAGTAGCCTGACTTACTTTTAATTGAGTCATGTGCAAGTAATAGAAAGAAGATTTAGCCCCATACTACGACCCAGCTATCCTGCTCTACACCTACCCATCATCTCACAGGTACCCCCCGAAGTCATCAGACGACCAAAAAAAGTTGTTTGTTTGCTCTGTGATGCCTTTTTTTGGGGGGGGGGGGGGGGGGGGGTGGGGGGTGGTGGGGGTGGTGGGGGTGTGTGTGTTGGTGTTAAAGGGTAAAAGAGAGTAGATTCGGGTTCTTATTATGACTTTCGACCCCAACATCAAGAGAGGGGGTTTAAAAAAATTTCAAAAGTTCATTCATCTACTGAGAATTTTCTTTCATACCGATTATTAGACGAATTGAAAAAAACTATGTTGAAGAAAAATGCTGGCCGCAATGTTTAAGAAGTTAGTATAAAAGCTGCTATGTTGTTACATGTGCTTCAAATATTGAATGCTCTAGGTTTGTAAAAGAGCCATAGTATTTATTCGCTTACTATTATAGATGAAATAAAAAGAAAGAAAAATGATTACTTTTTAGATATCTTCAAGTTTATTAGAATTCTGATTAGGTGTCAATCACCAAGGGCCAAGAACCTTCACATGATAGTTTAACAAGTCGAACAGTTGAACTTGTCATTGTATAAAGACAGACTCCCGTTATGAATCTTACTAGTCTCTTTGCACGAGAAGCCTTTTTTTTTCTTTTTTCACGCAGGCTTTCCACGACTTAAAAGATTGCCATGGCGAGAGACTAATTATTCTGTAAGGCACTGGAACCAAACAAAACAGCATGACTATGAAAGCAATAAAAACATGAACTATCATCTGATCAGTAGATCAAGGCCAATGCCATAAGCTATCATCTTCAAGGGGCTAGTAACTACAATAAGGCCCCGTTTGGTTCACGGAATGGATTTGAGGGAAAATCACTTCCCATGTTATTTTCTAAGGAATCGGAAATGAAAGATTCATTTCCCACGTTTGATAATGTCGGGAAAGTAACCGGGAGATTTCACTTTGTTTTGACAAGTGGCAGCTAATCGGTGGGGTCCTTTTTTTTATATTAAAAATAGTATAGCCGCACGGGAAGACTCAGTTTTTCTAATTTTTCAAGAATAGCCGCACGGCTATACTATTTTACTCGTGAACGCCAAAGGGCTGTGTGTCTGTAACATATACCTATTAATTAGACTGATTCCTAGCTTCCAACCATTGTTAGTTCAGTTTGTTTGTGTGAAAGAGCAAAACTGTTAGGGTTAATAAGTTAGAATTTCATATATCACTTTGAGTTTCATGTATTAAATTCATCTTTTCCGTCCAAAGGACGATATAAGCAATATTTAGGGCATCACACATGTTGTATTCAGATTGAAGTTGTGTTGGCAGACATTGAGTTTAAGTCCAATATCATGTTGCTTATACAGTATGTGATTAAGTATCATATTGAGCTAAGGAGTCCTAATTCTATTATAATTGATATGAATATCCAGTTTATATTGCTTGGTGATGAAGTAGAGTCCTTATTGAATTTGTTGATGGGAAGATTCACTTAGGTATAAAAAGAAGGGTCCTTGTCTTTGCAAGAAGTTACACACATAAAGTACTCAAACCCCATTTAGAGAGAGTGTGATCAAGGGCTTGCAAAAGGGAGAAGACTTTTGTGTTGTTCATACAGCTGCATGGGTTAGTGTTTTTAGTTGTTTATGCTTGAAGACTTACAAAGGATTCAAATATTGTTCAGTCAATTCTTATCTTCATTATTGTAGTTCACATTTCATTTTTTTTGAAAAAAAATCCATGCTCAGTGGCACATCCTTCACCTTTTGTTCAATGCAATTGATAGAGGCGATTGACATTTTACAGATTACAGGTTACAAACACGCTTCCTGGAAGCAGCTAGATAGCGGCATTATATAGTCAATCAAGTAACTCTTGTGTTTAATGGGGGCTATAGCTTCTCGGATCACCTACCCTGCCGGAACTAGCAAAACCATGAGTCTGAAGGAGACTTGTTTGATTTGCTTCGAAGAAACTCCCATTGCTCAAATGTTTCCTATTGGTACTTGCTATCACAAATATTGCTTGTCTTGTATGAAACGTCATGTGGAAGTAAATTTGCAAAACGGGATCGTGGCTCAATGCCCTCATAAACGCTGTAAGTGTGAAGTGAATATTGAAACCTGTAAAATATTCTTGTCACGTAAACTTGCCGACATTATGATCCAACGAATCAAGGAATGCTCTATTCCTGCTACAGAGAAGGTGTACTGCGCATTTCCGAGGTGTTCTGCGTTGATGTCCAAAAAGGAGGTCTTGGAACATACCAAGAGTTCTTTTGCTAGCGTGGGAGGCAGGAAGTGCATGAAATGCCATCGGTTATTTTGTATCAATTGCAAGGTTCCTTGGCACTATGATATGAACTGCTATGATTACCAAAGATCAGAAACCTATTCCCTCGCAGAAGAGCAATTGCTAAAGTCGCTTGCAATGAAGAAACTATGGCGCCAGTGTTCCAAGTGCAAACATATGGTTGAACTTGATAGTGGTTGCTGCCACGTCACTTGCAGGTGCTTTACTCTCCTCCACTCCAATTTGATTAATCTTTTTGGTTTCTTTCTGTCCTGCTTTTGTCCCTTTTTATCATTATTTATGAACTTAAAGCAATGTGTTTTTTGTTGATACAAGCGATATTGGGGGAGTGGGGTTTTTCATGCATGCATTGTACTTGAGACCACTCGTCTGCAAGTCAAGACCCTTTTTCACTAGGCTAGACACTGTTGGCATAAACTTAGCAATGTTTTATAGGGATGAATGAACAAGAAAATGACAGTTAAAATAGATACTTATGAAAACAAGATAATTGGGTGAAGTGCCTATGAGTTCTTGTGTGAGAAAAGGGATGAAGTCAAGACCCAAAACTAGCAATTCGTTAAGTTTTCTCTCGATTGGTTTATCTCAACCCTCGCCGAGAACGCTGTTATTGCCTATTTAAATTCCCAAGTTGTGGTAAAAGAATCCCTGAAATCCTAATTGGAACCCAAAACCGATCAAAACCAAGTAGGAAACACATTAAAAGCAAGGTACAAAGGTTTAACTGAATCGCATTAGAAGCCCCATACGCAAGATTTCACTGTTACATAACATTGCTAGTAAACTTACTTCTTTGGTTGCACCTTTTTTTTTTCTTTCTCTTACCTGGAAACTTTGAGAATTAATGATACATTACATTGGGGAGGGGGGCACGTTTTTTCCTCCTACCGGGAAACTTAAGAAAAGTTTTCACCCTTGTTGTTTTTCCTTTTTCTGGATGCTGCTACATTTTCATGACTCTGTACCAATCCTTGTTGTTTGTCTCATGTTTGCATTGTCTTTGTAGATGCGGACATCAGTTTTGCTATACTTGCGGAGCTGAATGGAAGAGTAGAACATGTTCCTGCGCTCTCCGGGATGCACAATATTGTATGGCGCCATTGTTAACTATTATTATGTTTTTTTATGCTATTTTATTTGATTTTATTTGATTAATATTTCATAGACTTACATGTTTTCTATGACTTTGCTTGGTGTGTTAAGATAGGTTAAGCTGGTTTAGTAATTAGTTAGTGGGATGAGATTCCTTAAATGTTGTTGATAGTGGCTAGAGCTTTTGCTCTTTTATCTTCCATTTTTATCTATCTATTTGTAAGATATGCCTATAAATCTGAGTTTCTTGATAACCTTGACTTGACACTCGAATTCGCTCCCTCAGTCATGGTCCTCAACGAATTTTGGACAAGCTTAACAACAATGGAAGGGAGTAGATACAACCAGTAGGACTTTGCACCGAACATTGATTCACAACTAGGTAGTCAACCCCTTCCACAAAAGGGTAACTTGATCAAGGATGAAACCTTCCAAAATCAACATTTGAAGAAATGGGACTTGTTACATATTATTATGTTTTTATTTTATTTTATGAATATGGGTAAATTTCACTTCACTACCCGGAAGTTTCTTGAAATTCAAACTTTACTACATCAAGTATTTTTCGTATCAACTTCGTACCTAAAGTTTGACTTTTCTATCATGTTTATACATCCGTTAGTCATTCCGTCAAATACTCTGTTAAATAATGACATGGCAGGATTTTATGCCACATGATGTGGCATGTTGTTTTCTCAAACAATGATGTGGTTTAATTCGTCTATATTTTGCCACATAGAATAAAAAGTTAAATAAATTTTTTTCACAAACGTAATACAAAAATTTGTAATCAGTAAGAATCTAAGATTTAAAAAATGAAGTAATAAATTCAAGAAAACTAAAGATTAATGAGAAGCCTCTAAATTGTCTGGAATACTAAATCTTGTGTACAACAAATAGAAGGTGCATGCAGAGAGTATTGCAACAATGAAACTGAAAGTTATTAATAGAAGAATTGCGGAGAAGAAATTGGAAAAAGCCAGCCACCATTAAACAGATCAAGGAGATAAGATCAATATATAAGACTTATAAAAATATTTAAAGATTAACTTCAGAAAAAAAAAGGATTTAAATTTATCAATTAAAGAAAACCATGATAGATTTTTTCTCTCAAGAAATAGGAAATTATTGTTGACTGTGAACTCCAAGGGACGAACGAACGACTAAAACCCTTCGTTTCTTCTCATAAACCCGCCTTAATTACATGCTCTCTTCTATACAAAAAGGAAGTCGTAATGACCACCTCTCTCTCTTTCTCACAACCCATCGAGAGGCCTCGTCACCTCCGCCTTCATTTATCATCAAAGGCTTTGGTGACGAGCGACTGTTTCAAATTGTACTGCAAGGGTTTTCTGAGGGAGGAAACCCTTGATATTTGGGGTAGGAAGGTGGTGGTGGTTGGGGCTGGAGTTGCCATCTGTGATCGCAGGGACAACTTGATATTCGAAAGTAGGAAGAATCTTAAAAGTTTGAATCATTTTGCTGTGCGGAGCAGGAAAACAGCTGAGCTTTTGGCTCTCATTGACGGCTCTCACTTTGAAGTTGAAAAGGGTCATATTTTGTGTGTGATGATTATCTGATTTACCAATATGTGAGTTTTTAAACTACTTAGCCTCGTTTTCTCTTATCAGTCTTATATTCATGTATTGACAACATTTTGTCCATCTAAGAAATTCTTTTTTTCTTGATGATATGATCCAAAAGAGGATTCAAATGATATTCAGCAAGCCAAGTTTTATTATTAATTTAATTCTTATCTTCATTATTGAAGTTAACATGAGTTTAATGTAAATAATTGATAGAGGTGATTGACATTTTATTGTCACAGGTCACGAGCACACTTCCTGGAAGTAGCGAGATTGCAGCATTAGTCACTCAAGTGACTCGTTTAGAAAAAAGTTTGCATATTGCAGCCCTTGTCTTGTGTTTAGAGGTGGCATTAAGTTTGCTTCGAAACTTGCAATTGAAGCTACAGCTTTTCAGAGCACCTCCTCTGCAGGAACTTGCAAAGCCATGAGTGTGAAGGAGACTTGTTTGATTTGCTTTGAAGACACTCCTATTGCTCGAATGTTTTCAATTGGTACTTGCCATCACAAATATTGCTTGGCTTGTATGAAACATCATGTGGAAGTAAATTTGCAAAGCGGGATCCTGGCACAATGCCCTCATAAAGACTGTAAGTGTGAAGTGAATATTATAACCTGTAAAAATTTCTTGTCACCTGAACTCGCTGACGTTATGATCGAACGAATCAAGGAGTCTTCTATTCCTGTCACGGAGAAAGTTTACTGCGCATTTCCGACGTGTTCTGCCTTGATGTCCAAAAAGGAGGTCTTGGAACATACCAAGACTTCTTTTGTTAGTGAGGGAGGCAGGAAGTGCATGAAATGCCAGCGTTATTTTTGTGTCAATTGCAAGGTTCCTTGGCACTATGATATGAGCTGCTATGATTACCAAAGATCAGAAACCTATTCCCTCGCAGAAGAGCAATTGCTAAAATCGCTTGCAATGAAGAAACTATGGCGGCAGTGTTCCAAGTGCAAGCATATGGTTGAACTTGATAGTGGTTGCTACCACATCACTTGCAGGTGCTTTACTCTGATCCACTAAGTTTGATCAATCTTTTGGTTTCTTCTGTCCTGCTTCAGTTCCTTTAAAAAACATAAACTCAGGATTAACCTAATCACCTTAAAAGTCAAATGAGGAATTAGTGATAATCTACTCTAAAATAATCTAACATATGAGGAGGAAGATTCGAACCTAGGTGCAAGGGGACGGACTCGATGTCCTGGCCAATTGGCCTAATCCAATCCGCTCTTTGACCGTGTATATAATAACCTGAAAGAGAGTTATCACATGAGGGGGATAGTTGAGCAGCAACCACACATTATTTGATGATCAAGCCATATATGTATATATATTACTGGGTCGCTCCTAGTAAAAGTTCCAAGTTTTTGGTTTTGGATACTTGAATATCCGTTCCCTTTACTCTGTTGTTTGTCTCTAATGTTTTGCAATGTCTTTATGTAGATGTGGACATCAGTTTTGCTATACTTGCGGAGCTCAATGGAAGAACAAGACAGCAACATGTTCCTGCCCACTCTGGGATGAGCATCACATTATACGGCCATAACGATTGAGAAGTGTAAAACAGATTGGCTGATCCAGTCATGTTTTTCTTTCTTCTTTATTTTCTTTTAGTTTATTTATCATGGAAAGATGTGGTTGTAACTTGTGAAGAGAGACGGAGGGATGGAAAGAGTGTAAAACCACTTTGCATTGCTCTAGCTTCTATAATAAATTATTTTCAATCTCTTCCTTTTCTATTTAAATAAATTGTCCAAACCGTATGTTTAATAAATAAAAATAGCCATGAAATAAGAAAATAAAAACAACATCAAACATGTCTCGAATTGTTCAATATTTTGAACCTACCAATATTATATTGTAGTCATTATTATTCATAAGAAACCATGACAATTAGATCTCTCGGATTCATTTGCAAACGTAGGATCATATGTAGCTTGGAAAAGTTGACTATTGGTATCATGATTAATTTGCAAATCTTTTAAAAGTTATTGAACATAAAATAAAGAAGGGATATGTGAATCATGGCTCCAAGCATCATATGAAGCTTGTCGGTACCACACTCCTTGTTTCCACTGGAAGAGGGTGTATGTATTCCTGCTGCTGCTGGTGGCGGTGCTGCGAAGAGACTGTCACTGGATGAGGGTGTATGTACCCCTGTTGGTGGTGGCAGCGCGAAGTACATAGGATCAAGATAATAATCAGATCAATCAGACAAAACATAAAATACACTATAGAACATTAGATTGTCATTCTTAAAGCACATGATGTTATTTTACTTCCCTAGCCACCATTTAGTGAAAATGTCAATGACAAGTTTAATGTTATGTAAAATGACCACCTTTTAAGAGACTCAACCATGATATATAGTGCTAAGATTTCAGGGAGTACAAAGCTCAGCAGTAGGTGTGGGGTTTATCACATAAGATCTCGACGTTAGTAGTAGTAGAACCATTTATTATAAGGTTAAATACCTTTTTGATCATTGGGTTTTACACAAAAATTTAATTTGGTCATTGAGAAAAAAATGTAGCCAATTGGTCACTGTGTTTCCTAAAATTTACAATTTATAGACATTCTGTTAATTTATGTTAAGTGTAATTTTTATTTTTATTTTTTCAGCAAGCATGTTCAGTCTTCTTTCTCTATCTCCACGAGTTAGGACATATTGTGCTATTAGGGTTTAACAAATTGGGAAAAATCTTGGGATGAAATCAAAATTATGAGGTATAAGGTCATGGATTGGATGCTATATTGAAGCCTAACTCAATTGAGTGAGAACCATATTGTGACTTCGGATGGCAAGGAAACGTAATCAAGTTGATAGAGACCCAAAATATATTGGTAAGTTGTTGATTCCATTTTAATTTGGTTTGGCTTTTTTATTTTCCTTATACCTCAATATACCCTAATTTGTTGAGTTAGAGGAAGAAAACTGAAGGTGCTTCCTAAAAAATAATGCACTTAATGAAATATAACGGAATGTCTATAAATTGTAAACTTTGGGAAATACAATGTCCAATTTGGCTAAATATTTTTCTCAATGACCAAATTGAATTTTAATATTCTTCAACACTAGTTTGTTTGATTCAAGTTTAATTTGGGGCTTCAATTTTGGGGTTTGCTTGTTTGGGGTTCAATTCGGGGTTTGGGTTCAATCTGGCCCAGTCAACCGGCATGCTCTGATACCATGTTAAGATTTCAGATAGACGAGTTAGCATCCCACTATTAGCAATACTGATGTTGTCCCAACTTAACTACTTACAAAGCCCAGTGGTGTAGAATTTTATCACAAAAAACCTCGATGCTATTAATAATGGAACCATATTCATTATATGGTGTATTTGATTTAGCTAAGTTTTCGTTGTGAGGCTTCAATATTCTTCAACATATAGAACTACATTAAAACAATTTCGAAAAAATATGTGTTTGTGCAAATAATCTCACGGGAGAATATTCGCTTCTAGATCCTTCAACCTTTGATCTTCCTTCTCTCTCCTCATCGATTCCTGTAAAAAAGATAAAGTAAATAGACCACACTCGGGGGGTGTTGGCCAAAGACCCTCCTATGCCTAAGTTAGTTCGAGTGTTTGTAGGAAAACAATAGCTAAGCAAAGGGTACGGAGTTATACGTATGGTGTGAATCAGGCGGCCAGAGCCGTGTGTGGTGGTCGGAGTCGTATGGAGAAAATATGGAGAGTGGAAAGGGAGAGGGAGAGAGCTTCGGGTATTTTTCTTGGATATTAGAAGTAGGTTTAGATGTACCCTGAATGATGAATGAGGTCGTCTATTTATAAGAGCTTCGGGGCTAGGGTTTCGTAGAGAATATGATGAGTTTATTCTCTACCCAAATTCGTAGGGATTGAGTTGGGGTTGATTATATCTCTTTATTGAAGATAATATCTGACTGAATGATATTATCTTCTCGTTATTAAGATAATATTTCTTCTCTTTATTAGGATAATATCTGAATTAATGATATTATCTTACTAAATAAAGATAATATTATATTAATTAAAATATTTATCGCTATTAATTAATTGGCCAGATAAACTGGTTCAATTAATTAATTTAAGAGATAATCTTCTTTTCCACGTGGCGTGCCGTGATTGGAGACGGAAATATTTGCTCTCATAATAATGATATAATTCCAAATTAAATTCCAAACTTAACCTTTTTTTTTTTTTTTTTTTTTTTTTTTTTTTTTTTTTTTTTTCACCCTTGTGAGATAATGAAATTGATTGACGTGGAGCAGAACTCTAAGGGACGAACGACTAAAACCCTTCCTTCTCAAATTTCCAAATGCAAACGAAGTCATGTCACCTTGTTTACCTAATGATTAGTGTTAAGCTGTGATTAGTTAGTAATTAGTTAAGCTGGTTGTAAAAGCCACGTGCTATCACGTGAAGTAGTTAGAAGTCTGTTAATGACTTTGCTTAATCAGTAAGCTAAAGACTAAGGTATATAAGCCAAGGATTGTATGCGGAGCTGTATTAAGGCCAGGGGTGGCCCTCTAATTATATATTCGATGTGGTAACAAATGCAAAGAATATTTGCTATACTTAAGCCTATGGTGGCCCCCTCACCACAAATAAGTAGTTGTCAAAATTGTATTTCAATATGAATATAATAGTAAAATTATACTACATTTATAAAAAAAAACCACTCATTTCAATTCAGCGCTTTTATAAGTAATAATTTACTCAATAGGCCGAAAAAAATATACAACTAAACTTTTTGTGTTTAATGTTTTAGCCCTCTCAAATATAAAATCCTAGCCGCCCCTGTTTCTTGATATACTGTAGAAATACACAAAAGCTTCGATTCTTTCACTCTCTCTCTCTCTTCAATTTTCTCTGCTTCCTCTGTTATAGTTAGCACACCTCTCTCTCCCTCTCAACCCTTCGAGGCCTCGTCACCTCCACCTTCATCTTCATCAAAGGCTTTGGTGACGAGCGACTGTTTCAAATTGTACTGCAAGGGTTTGCTGAGGGAGGAAACCTTTGATATTTGGGGGGGAGGAAGGTGGTGGTGGTTGGAGCTGGAGTTGCCATCTGTGATCGCAGGGACAACTTGATATTCGAAGAGAATCTCAAAAGTTTGAATCATTTTGCTGTGCGGAGCAGGAAAACAGCTGAGCTTTGGGCTCTCACTTTGAAGTTGAAAAGGGTCATATTTTTTGTGATGATTATCTGATTTACCAACATGTGAGTTTTTAAAGTACTAATCTTCATATTCTTTTATCAATCTTGTTATTAAGTTCATTTTTTTCTGTAAATTTGTTTCTGGGACAAAGAAAATTATTAGATTTAGTATGTTAGATTTCTTAATTATATCACTACTTTGAGCAAGGATTCATGTATTAACACCATTTTGTCCAGCTAGTACATTTTTTTTTCTTGATGATATGATCCAAAAGAGGATTCAAATGAGTTTCAGCAAGCCAAGTTGTATTATTCGTTTAATTCTCATCTTCATTATTGCAGTTCACATTCATTAAAAAACCATGCTCGCATGAGTTTAATGAAATAATTGATAGAGGTGATTGACATTTTACTGTCACAGGTCATGAGCACACTTCCTGGAAGCAGCGAGATTGCGGCATTCGTCAATCAAGTGACTCGTTTGGAAAGAACCTTTGCATATTGCAGCTTGTGTTTAGTGGTGGCATTAAGTTTGCTTCGAAACTTGCAATTTGAAACTATAGCTTCTCAGAGCACCTCCCCTGCAGCAACTTGCAAAGCCATGAGTGTGAAGGAGACTTGTTTGATTTGCTTTGAAGACAATCCTATTGCTCGAATGTTTTCAATTGGTACTTGTCATCACAAATATTGCTTGTCTTGTATGAAACATCATGTGAAAGTGCAATTGCAAAGCGGGATTGTGGCACAATGCCCTCATAAAGACTGTAAGTGTGAAGTGAATACCGAAACCTGTAAAAAATTATTGTCACCTGAACTTGCTGACATTATGATCGAACGAATCAAGGAATCTTCTATTCCTGTTACGGAGAAAGTGTACTGCACATTTCCGAGGTGTTCTGCGTTGATGTCCAAACAGGAAGTCTTGGAACATACCAAGACTTCTTTTGCTGGTGAGGGAGGCAGGAAGTGCATGAAATGCCATCAGTATTTTTGTATCAATTGCAGGGTGCCTTGGCACTATGATATGAGCTGCTATGATTACCAAAGATCAGAAACCTATTCCCGCTCGGAAGACCAATTGGTAAAGTCCCTTGCAATGAAGAAACTATGGCGCCAGTGTTCGAAATGCAAACATATGGTTGAACTTGATAGTGGTTGCTACCACATCATTTGCAGGTGCTTTACTCTCCTCCACTCCAATTTGATTAATCTTTTGGTTTCTTATGTCCTGCTTTAGTCCCCTTTTTTTTAATCATTTCTAAAATTAGCTATGTCATATAGGGAAGAATGTACAATAAAAAGGCAAATAATTTTTTTTTTTTTCAGTCACTCATCTCAACCCTTATCAATAGAATCTCCAATACACCCAATATATCCAAATTCACAATTTGTTAAAATTTTATCTCAGTTGGTGCATCTCAACCTGTAACGCTGTTCAATGCCTATTTAAATTCCCAAGTTTGTAGGTAAAGGAATCCCTCAAATCCTAGTTGGAACCGAAAACCAAAACCAAAACCAAAATCAACTAGAAAACACATTAAAAGCAAGGTGCTAAGATTTCCCTGTTGCTCAAAGTAGGGGAGTGTTTTTCTTTTCTTGAAGACCTTTCTTATTGAAAGAGGCGATAATATACTAAACTCACACACTACATGGATGCTAGGACTTGAGTATTTCATAAAGCCACATATATAAAAGTTCTAAAATTTGGGATCGGATACTTCAATATGCATTCCCTTTACTAGCTGTAAAAGGGAGTGGCCACTACATCAAACTTGCTAGCAAAGTTACTTTGGTTTCACTTTATTTATTTTTTTCTCTTACCAGGAAAGTTAAGAAAAGGTTTCACCCTTTTTCTTCTTCTTTTTTTTTTTTTTTTTTCTTTACTAGATGCTGCTACATTTTCATGACTCCGTCCCAATAGAAAAACTTTCATGCAATGGGATGCCACTATGGTAGTATCCGCATGGCAATGCACATTCTGTGTAGGTAAATTGTTCTCTTGTACGAATCCTTGGTGTTTGTCTCATGTTTGCAATGTCTTTATGTAGATGTGGACATCAGTTTTGCTATACTTGCGGAGCTGAATGGAAGAACAAGAGAGCAACATGTTCCTGCCCACTCTGGGACGAGCATCACATTATACGGCCATAACGATTGGGACTATAGTGTAACATCATATGTGAACCGCCCGTTATCAAATTACGTACACATTTTACAAGTAAAACAGATTGCCTGATCCAGTCATGTTTTGCTTTCTTCTTTACTTGTTATTAATATTTTTTTTTTTATCATGGAAAAATGTGGTTGTAACTTGTAAGAGAGAAAGAGAGGGCGTAGAAAGAGTGTTAAACCACTTTGCATTGCTCAAGCTTCTAACATAAATTATTAAGGACTTCCTTTTGAATATAAATAAATTGTTCCAAACCCTCTACTTAATAACAAAAATAGCCATGAAATAAGAAAATAAAAATTATATCAAACGGGTCTAGAATTGTTCAGTATATTTTACCTACCAATATTGTAGTCGTTATTACACATAAGAAACCAATGTATTAATAATGAACGAAAGCAATGTATTTTGTATTTACCCCTAACTAATTAATGCATTTTGTATTTTAAAGAACTAGCTAATAATTAAAACATACATTTTTTTTTTCTTTTGTGTGTGGATAATTTCAAGTAGGGGTGGCATCAATCCCGCGGAACCCACAAAATTGCCGATTCAAACTATAGTGGCCAGCATAGGTGGCACGCAACTTCTGGAAGTGAGGTTCAGACGTAACGCGATGCAGATTAACCACGAATTTCTTCTTGTACACTTTGGAACCACCTCACAAGTACAAAGGCACTCACGAACTTGGTGATTGGCTACCATCATTGGAAGACATGATCAGTGAATAACTGCAAAAAAGAAAGAAAATTGTAAGTCAGATAACATGTCAAAACCCTAAGTTGCAATATATATATATATAAATAAAATACCAAGAAAGCCACGCTGCCTGAGTCACTGACGCAGCACCTCGGCTTGAGCTGAGCCGCAACCTGTCTAGTAGGTCACGACTAAGCCAACTTCAAAACAAAAAAACAAAAAAACAAAAAAGCCAAATAGTCACCGAGGTCATCGTCAGCCGCAACTGACGACCATCGCAGCAACTGTCATTGATGTTCAAGGCAAAGCCCGCTTGCCTAACTACTGAACTGCAATAAAAGTCGCAATCTAGCAGCCAGGCTCGCAACATGTTGGACAGAACTACGACAGCCACCGCTGCGCAACCACCACCTGGTTTTGCCGCGGCTCCAGCCTTCGCCTCACGACGATAACCAACCAGGCTTGTGCCAACTGTTCCTCACCGCAAGTAAAGAAAAAAGAGGAAAAATGAAGGATCGCGGCAGCAACACAGCAGACACCGCGATGCCACCTTAGCTGCCAACAACTTTATGCCATAACGACAACTAGCTGAGCCCACCTAACTGGTCTTTACCGCGAAGAAAAAGGAAAATAAATTAATAAATTTGACCTACCTTGGTGTGCATGACAACTCTTCTCCTCGACAAGCAGTACACTCCTTCAAGATCTCTCTCGCAATCTAAAAAGTAGAGGATGACAAGTGTGCAATTTGAAGAGGAATGAAGAGAAGCCTTGTATTTATAAAGGTTGGGCATCCTAGGTCAAGGAGGAATCACAAACCTATTCCCATTGGGAGCCCAACTAAAAAAAAAATCAAAATCAAAAGTCTACTCCAATTAGGAGCTCAACTCAAAGAAGAAAGCCCAAATGCAGTTGGAAAGCCCGGAAGATATTTCTCATCTCCTCTATGCCATGCAGAAGTTGGAGGGCATTTGTGGGAACATATATTTCACCGGCTAATAAGAAAATGACACGTGAAAAATGAATATTCCTTATGTCAAAATAAATACCCTAATTAATTCCCATTTAATTAGGGAAATTATCTTTGATTTAAGATAGGAATATCTCCCTAAATCAAGGAACCAATCTCTACCAAATCTCTTGGAGTAATTCCTATAATCTTTTGGGGAAGAATAATCCTAACCAAATAAGGATTATTCTCACAAAACCCTAGCACACAAGGAAGCTATAAATACATAGTCACACAAGACATTCATGGTAATTCTAAACTCACACTCAAAAACCCTATGCAAACCCTCTCTTCCTCTCTCTCTCTCTCTCGCCGCCCTTCTCTCCCACTCTCTTTACACGGTTAAGTGCCGCCACATACTACTCTGGCCACCAGACTCTTCCCGTGAGAGAAAACTTTGTCCAATTTAGCTATTGCCGCATTTTTTCTCAAAGATCAAATCGAACTAACTTAGGCATCGGAGGGTCTTTGGCCAACACTGTAACATCCCACATTGACCAACGGAGAGAGAGTGATGTGCTTTATATGTACATGTCAGCCTCCATCTAGCACGAGGTCTTTGGGAACTCACTAGCTTCGGAGTCATGGGAACTCCGAAGTTAAGCGAGTTGGGGTCAAAGCAATCCCAAGATGGGTGACCCACTGGGAAGTTGCTCGTGAATTCTCATAAACAAAATCGTGAAGGTAAAGATGGGGGCCCAAAACGGACAATATCGTGCTATGGCGGAGCCAATCCCTGGATGTGACAAACACCCCCCAAGTGTGGTCTTTTACTCTTATTTGTTTCACAGGAATCGAAGAAGATAGAGAAGGAAACTCGAAAGGTGAATAATATACAAGCGAATATTCTCTGGTGAGAAATTTGTACAAACACAAACCGCTTTATGGCATCCCTCATATTCTAAAACACCATTTATGTATTAAATATTGGTGGTAGTGGTAGATTGTGAGTTTTTAAAGAAATGTCCTATATCGGAAAGTTGAGGGACTTAACATGCACTTAGAGCCACCTAAGGACCAGTGTGGGCCCATGCCCTTCTCATATTTGTTGTTTTCTCTTCTTCTTTTTTACTTATATATGTTGCTATATGTTTGCTTTTTGGAGTAAAAACTCTTCTACTTTTTTCTCTCTCTCTTCTTCTTTTGATTAACTTAAGCTTTGAGAATTCCCCTTTTTACATGTCTAAGTAGGGCATCTTAATATTGGGATTTATGAACATTTTTTGTATTTCTTCTTTATGTTGAAGTATAAATTATTAATTTTGAGTCTTTAACAGTATAGATGATGAGATTAATATATATTCAATCATTTTAACATATGAAATTCAAGACAATTATGATTGTAATAAATGAATAAATTATTAATCCATATGAAATGATATTATTAACCTATTCATCCAGTTAGCGCTTGAGTGTTCCTATTCGAATTATTTATATAAAAAATTGTGAAGGGCTCTAATGTGAAATTCTGGCTTCACCATTGCCAAATGGGTATTATTTTGGGAAAAATCTAATTATAGAAACACACACATTTAACTGTTGCACGCAAATAAGCTTCCGTAAGAGAGAAAATTTTCTGGCTCAAAGAGGTATAAAGGATTTTCAACTTCTTCAATTAGCAGTGGCTTCCATTAGTGGCTGATCCATGAATTTTTCAAGGAAGGTGCAAATAAAAAAATAAAAATAGACAACTAATACTATCACTAATTGATTAAGTCTATATCAATTAATATGACCAAAATCCATGCCAATTTATATAATTAGTATACCAAAATTATATCAAATTATCAATTAATCTAAGAAAAATCAGTATTAATTAATCTAATAAAAATGCAAATAAAATTATCATTTAAACAAATAAATCAGAAAATAATAATAATAATAATGAAAGACATATTTAAAAAAAAAACATAAGGAAAAAACCCAAAAGAAAAAATTACATTCGAAGTCGAACTTGCAACTTGGTGGAGAGGATGGGTATGCTGGATCAACAAGAGCCTACTCCCCTTCAACGCCACGCCCAAACCCGGCTTCTTCTAGAGTTTAGGGTTTAGAGTTTATGGTTCTTACTTACTCCTATGTAGGTTCGCCAATGGCTTCCATGATTCTCATGTTAGAGCATATACATAAACAATGAATAAACAAAATGTAGAAGACATGGAAGGAACATGTAAAGGCTATGTAGAGGCTGATAGAACTTGGACTGTTTGCCATTCTATGTTTTCCAAACATTTTTAATTCCCTCCAGTATCTTACAAAAATCATAACATTCATAGCTGAGAAAAGTGTTCTTTCTACCTAATACAAAGGACCATTGAAAAATTATTATCTTCTAATATATCAATTCCACCAAGGCTAGAAAATATTTAATTGTAACATATCATGCAAATAATCATGTGTTATCCAGGGTATAAAAGCATGACTTATATAATCCTTCATCCTGTGTTCGTATATTTTGTGTTTTTGAGACTAGAATATTTTACTGTGATTTTTTTGACACTTTCCACTTTCATTATTATTAATATTTTTAATATTTTTTTATTGCAAAATCATTAATTTTTTTAAAATATTTATAGATTATGGATTTTTTATACTCTATTAGTATGTTGTTATCTCAATGTTGAATTTTTAATTTTTAATTTTTGTAAAAGACCTACTAGTATAGTGATTTAGAGTAATTGATCCCCAGATTTTCGGTTTGAGTCCTAGCTTGTAACTAACCAATATACATTTTTGTATTATAATTGTTTAATAATATACACTCTTATTTTTGTCTAGCACAATTATATACACTTTTTAATTGGAATTGTCTGATAATATACACTTCTGTCTTTTGATTTTAATTTTGTGGATATCTGTAAAATGTTATAAGGATATTAATTAACAGGGAAAAATGTGCAGACTTGGTCTGCAATGCCTCTGTATACATCTTGGGACGAAAATATTATTATTTATCTTATTTTCATGTGTCAAACCCTATAATTAAGGAGTTGACTAGGGGCTAGAAAAAATGAATTACAACATAGGGTTGCATGAAAAATGGTATAAGATGAGGTATTTAACTAATAACAAGCCACTAAGTAAGGGGTTTTTGATAATTTCCTACTAGGTTTTAGATGATTACACAAAACAATCATGATTAAAACACAAACACACATGTTGCTAGGGATATAAAATTTGTATTATTATTGGGAAAAATCGAATTATAGAAACACACACGTATAACTGAATTATAAAAAATAAAATAAAAATAAAAAAAGAAGGCAAGAAAGCAACATGTGGGAGTCGTGGGACTCAAGTAGCAGCAAGGCAAACATTATTGATATCAGAGCAAATACAGACGCAAATTAAAGATGAGAATATATTGATGTACTAGCAATTTGATACTAAGGTTGTCGATGGATGCACGGAAGGCAGCAAATTAGAGACTAAGACTAATTAGAATTGTTGTGAAGGCACTTGTTGTAGCATCCAACGTAGTTGAGGACTTGATTTTTGGGGAAGTTGTTTGTGGCAGTAATGGAATCAGCTGCTTCTGTACATCCGAGAGCGCAATCATAGAGGTTGGTTGGTATTCCTCCCACCATGTTGCAACTTTGCTGCACGCATTGAGTGTAACACACTGTATAACTGGGACGGAGACGGCTACGACCACCACGGTATTTACCTTCATGCCCTTCATGCCCCCGGCCATGACCCCCGCCAACACCACGGTTAGGGTGATAGTTAGCCCCACTTACGCGGTGGCAATCAAAATCACACCATGCAGGACATAGAGTAATTTTATTAACAACACCACCCACCGTATCGCTTGGCGGCGGCGCTTCAGGTGATGATGGTTCATCAATTGTATTTGGAGGAGAGAGAGTGTAATTTGGAGTTAGATCCCATCCAATCTTGATGGGAAGAGTCAAATGATCAAATGGAATATTGGAAGGGGCTGAAGGAGGAGTTGTGCTTGGTAGATTTCTGGCTTGCACTACAATTAGAACTAGTAGAAGCATGAACATCATAGTACTAATGGAACTTGATTCCATGGCACTTCTCATTCTCTCTAGTAGAATTTTTTTAATATTTTTTTTATATGTATATATGAATCGAAAGAAGAGGAAAATAATTTTTGCTATGTGTTCAAACCCTTTGTCCATTTAGGTATAAGAGCAAAATATCAATAGTCATTTGTGGAAATAATTTGAGGGAATTTCCAATAATTACGTGCCACTCTTGTTACCCCTACGATTGAGAAACAGACCTTATAATTTGGGGAACTAATTATAGCCGCTGATTAATAGCCAATTTAATAAGTTGAATCCCAGATACTTCGTAATTGACTAAAAACATGGGGTGGGCCGAGCTCATGATCTTCTACAACTTTTCTGTTTTCGTTTTGTGTTTTAGGTTTGGGCTGCAAATCACTAAAAGCACAAAAATTTAAAAGTCATTTGTCCCTCTCAACGTGATATCTTCATTTGAATTGAGGAAACAAAAAAGTTATTTACACTAGGTTTTTGGTATTTTCATAAAACCCATTGAAGTTTCAGAAATTAGGGTAACACAATGAGATTTTTTTATTTATTTATAGAATTCCATGAGGTTTCACAAAACCCCTTTATTTCTTTCTTTTTTCAAGACTGAAAAAAAAACATTACAAGTTAGATCCCTTTGGGATCTTAATACCATACAAGTCTCCTTGTAATCTAAACATTGCATCCAAAGTGAAATTACTAAACAAAATACATGAATGCAAACCCCTTTATTTCATTTCCCACCTAAAAATTGTTGATGTCATAAAAAAAAATTCTCTAAATGACAATGTTGACATGAAGTTTTTCTTTGGTCGGAATCAAGTGTCATTAATAGAAAGCCAATGGCAATTACATCATAGTGAAACTATTTAAATAAATAAATAAAAGTCCAAACAAATGCAGCAATAATAAAAGTCAACTAAAAATAAAACTCAAACAGGCATAAAGTCTACAACTGGCATAAAGTCAGAGCCCAAAACTGACATAAAGTCAGAGTCAAAACTGGCATAAAGCGAGAGCCAATCAAAAGCATAAACACCACCAAACGCCAAGCAATGTTGATGTTGCCTCCATGAAGATCGGGACATAGCCACCATGACTAATGATGAGGGATAGAACTATAAAAAAACCACAAATTTGATAATCCCTCACAATACATAAATCGGTCATCAAAGACTCATTAACTCCACCAAACCACCAAGAAGGAAATATCAGCCAATCCAATAACAAACCAGGGAAAAACTTCCCAAAAAGAAACAGACATCCAAATCATGGAAAGAGGTGGTAACAACCTAAGAATAGAAGGAGGTAGTGCAACCACCCGAGCAAGAGCTCTACACATCTTCCAAAGAGGACACGAAAAATCGTATTTGGGATTAGTAGATGCATCCAATGGGGGTCAATAGATCCAAGAGGGTGATAAACCTTGAAGGAGCCATATATGGAAGGAGGAATTTAAAGGGATTTTGGAAAATAAAAATAAAAATGAAGAATGATAAGAGTGTTCGGTTGAAGTGGAATATGAAAATGAGAGGGGTATCAGGGGAGGTAGTGACCACTTCACCCTAGATGGCATTGAAAGGCTTTGAGAGTTTGAGAGAGATGGTGATGCGGCTCTAGTGTTTGTGGAGAGAAAAAAGTTTGGAACGATACTTTTTTCCAGATTAGATTGCACAATCTAGCCATATTGGTACAATGAAATTCACCCTTTTGGCCAATGATTTTACAATATATTTTGTCCATTTAATCATAAACTTCAATATACTACAGAATTGACATGTATGCATCAAGGTAAAGCTTGTTAAAGAGTTGAGCTTGTGGAGATCTCTCATATTCTATTTTGTTTGCCAAACATTTAGTTCACTCTAATATCTTATAAAATTTAGTATAAAAAAATATCATTATAAAATTTAAAATATTCAAATCAAGAAGTATCTAAAAACCCGAATTGTTATTTCACCTAATACTTATAAAAGTTATATTTTACTCTTATATATCAATTCCATCGAGCACAAAAATTATTTTGTTGTAATATATCATGCAAACTAATGATTTCTTACCCAAGGGTATAAAAGCATGACTTAAATAACCTTCTATATTTTGTTCATGTGTTGTGTGTTTTCGAGATCAGAACATTTTGTTGTGATTTTTTTTCCCTAAAAGTCTCCACTTTGAGTATTATTAATATTATTTTAGAAAATACAGAAGAATTAATTTCCAAATGCACATGGCATGCTCTTACACAAAATTTCCGGTCCTTAGAATGGTACTAGGAAATATTGCACAGCTTTCTCATTTCTAGAAGGCTGCAAAAGGTTTAGAATGTGTGTGTGACAGAAAATACTTCTACTATCTAAGCATTTGAAGCAAAGGACAATGTTGGTAATTGGTTAGATTGAATTTTATTTTGGGAGGGAACTAAATTGTGGGAAACCCGTACATTATATATGAACACAATCTTAATAGTTATTGCCAATTTCTATGATTGAGAACCTATGGAGTAATTGGTATGTCATTCCCCTAACTAAGAGGGAATTCCTTAATCAAGGGATATTATTTTATTTTTTTTGTTGATGCAAGTGACGAGGGAGGGGGGATTGATTTGAAACACAATAGCGGTCACTACCTACTTATTACAAGCCCCTTGCAATGATATAATTTTTTTTTTGGAATAAAAAATTTCGGGTAATTTACCGCTTTCTCTTTTTATTTTATCCATAATGAATTTACTTGACTTTTTTTTCCCATCCAATTTCTTCTTTGAATTATGCAAAAATGGTCAATTTTTTCCACCATTAGACTCCTAGTAATTTCACTTCAGATACTGTGAAATAAAGTCACGTTATTGACTTTTGAGAATCTCTTTACGCTATATTGTTACAACTTTATTTTTGGTGAGGAATAAAAGGAAAATGGCACGAGGTTTAAATATTTCTATATAATTCATAGGTAAATGGACACTTTAAAAAAAATAATAATAATAAATAATAGTTGAGGTGTGTTCGGTTTGATTTAGTTTGGTTTAGACGTATCAACTTCTTTTGTAATGTATTTTTTTTGTTTTTTGGTTGTATGGGGCTACGGCTCAGTTTGGGATTGCTGTCACTTTTTAAAAAAGTTGTTTCTGCTGTGCTTTGAAAATAATTAGCTGCAAAGTAAAGTAGCTCCATGTTTGGTGTTTTTAAAGTGTTGTTAGTACAAAAAACAATGTCAAAATCGTTTGGTAAATTTTTATATAAAACTGTTGTAACTATGAATAATGACTAAAATAGACATGATGTTGAAGTGTTATGTGCTAATCATGTGGTGGTAGTAGTGGTTGTTGAGTGGAGGTGGTGGTGAAAGAGATGGAGGTGAAGGTGGTGGTGGTGATTAAGGTGGAGTTGGTGGGGATGACAGTTATGTAGGTGGACATGGTGGTTGTGGAGTGGAGGTGGTGGTGATGATTAAGGTGGAGTTGGTGGGGATGGCAGTTATGTAGGTGGACGTGGTGATGACGGTGGCAGCATCATGGTGGTGGTGGTGGTGTTGGTTGTGGAGGTGGTGGTAGTTGTGGTGGGGGAGGGGGTGGTTGTGGTGTCAGTATGAGATGATGTGGCGGTGGTTGTGGTGGCGGTATGAGAGGATGTGGCGGTGGTTATGGAGGCAGTGAATGTAGTAGAGTTGGATATGAAAGTAAAGGTGGTGTCATTTAAAAAAAAATGAATTATGGTATATTGAGAATTAAAAATTTTCATTAAAGGCTTGTCTCTACTTTTTTTGAAAGCAGTTTTGAAATGCAGTCCAAAGTCTGCTTTTAAAAGCTGTTGTCAAAAGGTCATTGCTTTTAAAATAATCATGATATTTTATGTTTATCAAACACTTTAAATTGTTTAACTTTAAAATGAAGTTGATTTTTGAAAAAATAAATTAATAAATAAAAAAATAAAAAAATAAAAAAATAAAAAATCCCACACAGGGCCAAGCCAGGGTAAAGTGCAATCTTGCGCTTCTGGGTCTTGCACCCCACTCAAGTCCTCCAACAGAAAAGATCCTAGGTCTTTTGTCTTTGTCCCAACAGTTTCATTCTCAACGCTAATTCCAGCTTCTTGCCCAGGAAAACCTCACTAGGGTTTCTCACTGACATTTAACCCCAAAAACCCAATCGAACCCAATTCTGAATTTCAATGGCGGATGCCAGGGATCGGGACGAGCTCAGCGATTACTCATCGGAGGACGAGGGCACTGAGGACTACAAGAAAGGAGGGTACCATGCGGTCTCTACTGGGGACTCGTTCAAGAATGGCTGCTATGTGGTGCAGAGTAAGCTGGGCTGGGGTCACTTCTCCACTGTCTGGCTTGCTTGGGACACTCGGAGCTCGGTATGTTATCTGTGTTTTGATGTGAAACTAGTTGTTTGGTTAGTGAGAAACTGAGGGAAAATAGAAGAGTAGAGGAACTGAGAGGAAAGGTTGTGGAACGTATATTTCTTTATTTTTTTTGGTTCTTTGGTGGAGCTGGGTTTAGGAAATTAAAAGAGAGGTAGATATTTGTGAATAAATGCAATAAATCAATACAAAACAGTTTGTTTGATTACGAAACGAAAAGAAAAGAATAGTAAGAAAATGTCTGTGCACTATGAAAATTCAAGAGAAGAGTAAAAGAAAAAACAAATCTTGGGTATGACGCAAGTTCTCAACTTTGTATTATTTGTCTCGTTTTCGGAATAAAGCAATGAATATTTTTTATTCATTGCACTAGTAGCTCTTAGTAATTTGAACTAGTTTCTTTATCTGAATTGTTTTACCTAGCATTTAAATTAAGATTCTCTCTCTTGTCCTGTATGAAAACTAAATGAGAACTTGCCTACAGTTTCATTGTTCAAATCTTTGACAACATGAGAAATTCGTTGTTTGTAGCGTTATGTAGCTTTGAAGATTCAAAAGAGTGCTCGTTATTACACTGAAGCTGCAATGGACGAAATAAAGATTCTCAAACAAATTGCAGAGGGAGACCCTAGTGACAAGAAGTGTGTTGTGAAGCTT